CCGATCAATGCGGTCGGTGTTCGGAGTAAACAGTGGTCGGATTTCACAGGTTGTTTTAACATAGGCGTCTATGGAGAAATTTCGGGGTTACATAAATTGGTCGGTTCTGTCGGTTTATCCAGGGGTCGGTTTTGACAGGTTTTACTGTATCATAGCAAAGAGTTATTTTACTCTTTTCTATGGTCACAATTAACATAAACGGACCAGAATATTGAATACTAGTTTGCTTTTCAAAACATAAATTAGTGTCAAACCAAATTTCCTGGGGTATTTGAAACCAAAAATTGTCATTCCAACTCGGCAGCCAATCAGCGACAGCCTTACAATTTCTGTTTCAAATACCCCAGGAAAGTGTTCTCTGTTTTTTGTGTAATTAGGTGCTCATATGCAAGGGATTTTTCCACACAAAAACGACGAATTCGGTCAAATTTTGTTAGCGGCTAGCTTAATATTACCCCAATGGATCGTTTGGCTGTGAAAGATTGTTGCTTTTTTCCTGATTTGTAGGAATCTGAAAAATGTGTTTCACAAATTGTCACTTTATTTAGTTCCATGCTGTATTCAAGATGGTGGCCCCCATATAGTGACTATCGCATTTATTTTATTATCAATTGTGCGCCAACTGAATGTTGATAGAACGGCTAACTATTTTGTTTTCTCAACTAGGTGACATACCAGAGAATTATTGGGCTTTACTGCCAGGAGGGAGACATTCAGGGTGCCGGTAAAGTCTTGGAATTCATGAAAAAGAAAGATATGCCAATCACCGATGGAGTCTTCAATTCTCTGATCACTGGACATGCAAGGGCTGGGTGAGCTCACATTTGTATAATTGCTTATTGTGCTGTGTGTGTTTAGCTATCCATCAACAATAATGTAACTGTTATACTATGTTGTTAGTTCCTCACGAAAAACTATCAAATATTTATTTATTTATTTATTTGTTTGTTTGTTTGTTTATTTGTTTATTTATTTATTTATTTTAATAGTTACAATATATGATAATTAAAAATCTGATATAATTAAAGTATCACTCATAAGTTCTTTTTTTCTGTCAACATTCGTGTGAACCTACAGTTGTAGTATGTATTTGCGCTTGTTTTTTCAGAGACATGGCAAACGCTGAAGGTATGCTGACTATAATGAGGTAAGCTGTCTGAACGGCGGACTGACCGATAGTATAGAAGTTACTACATACATTGAAACTCGCTTAAGTACACATCCTCACAAAAAACTATAAAAGCTCAATCAGTTTCACCACAGAAATCAAAATTACTTAGATTAACACCATAAATCACCTAAATTTTGATAAATTTAAACCTAAATTTCCAGGGATTAAACTTGAGATGCCTGTAAAATAACAGACATCACATGCAGATCATTCTGTTTAGAAAATCCATGAATAATCAATCATATGAAATTTAACTTATTCTTCGGAGCGGACATTTTCATCGCCTGGCAACCATATTACTGTGAAAACAAAGGCCGAAAACTATCAGAAAACTGTACTTTGAAATGGTTGTTGAGACTCTACTAAACAGTGTAACAATATTACCCCTGCAAGTGCAACATATGTAAATTTGGTTGCTCAGGGTTACTTGAAAATTGAGTTTGTGCTGTCTTCTCGACTTTAGCTATTTTCACTGGCTTTTCGACCGCCGTTCCACAGCAGCTCACACAGAACCCATAGAAATACATTGTGCAGTGGTGCGTGTCTTAGCAAATTAAAGCGTTCTGTGACGTAATTCCGCCCCGAGAATACGTCTATGACTGATGTGAATATAACATAACAATGCCAGGATGGTTTTCTTAACAATAGAATCAGCCTTCACACTTTGACGTCACACAAATTAATTCTTTTTTTCCAGGAATGTTTCTTTAGAGCCCACTGTAGACACCTATACATCACTGATGTGTGCATACGCTGAAAAAGGCGATATCGAGAATATCCGAGAGGTAATTCTAGTATTATACTTTTTGTTTCATTTTCAAAGTTAGTAGCAGTACATCTCTATTATTGATCAGCAGACTATCCATCAAGACAACAATGTACATTTGTTGCTTCATAAAGGCGTTGTGAGTCTCACAACTATTGAATTATGGGATTTCTTAATAACGATAATGCAGACATCTTGTTTTAACAAATATAACTTTATATAGACTTGTA